AAGTTAACGTGTGGATTTTTGGTGAAATTTCTACCTGATCACACGTGTTTTGGTTGGTTTCAGTTTCATATGCAGCTCGCAGTCCCAAACTGTGTCGGTCTAAAGGGGATAGCCTTTTGGAGCAATAATGTAATGCACAACAGAGTAGGAAATAGGGCAGGTAGAATTAAAAATATTATCAATTCTCATTAAATGATGATGTTGGTCTCATAATATTTCGATCGCAATCGTTTCTGTTTTGAACATGAGCAGAAAACCTGCTGAAACACAGGAGCTATTAAAGTCCAGGAATTTATTACTGGACTTTATTTTTATTATTTTACTGAATTAAAATTAATTAATTTATCACTGAGGTCAAAAGGTGCCATGTATTTAAAGAGGTTATTTCCCCAAGCAGAGACTCAAAAGAGGAGGGAAGGCTAAGCATGTGTACTGACTCAGCAGGGATTTTATTAAATTAGAAAAGTTGATCTACAGGAGAAAACATATTTAAAAGCAATAGCTACAGAATGCCTGAGAACCTTACTGCATTATATTCTATAATTTTTTTATTTTTTGAATTGTCACCTGAATATTGGCACCTGAATTTTGTGTTTCCTTTTAGATAAACCATAAATTGGTGCAGAAAATTTTCAAAATGTATGCACCAATTTAATCTACCAACCCTGGCCCTGGAATAACACCAGCCTTATGCTTTAAGGGGCCGTTTTCAGTGACCTCTAGCGGTGAGGTTTCAGGTAGCAACCATGTTTCCAAGCGCATGCTCCTGCCCGTGCTCAAACTCATGGGCGAGCACTCGGCATCGACCAAAACAGAGACATAACAAGAGACAGCCAGGCGGCTCTTTACTGCTTTCAAACGAAACCTGAGAGCAGCCAGGTGTGCCAACACAGTTTCTGTGTGGCTTTGTGCCAGAAACTCTGATAGAGCACACACCAGCCAGTCGTTCAGATAGTTGAACATAGTTAAATGCCCTTCGGCCACAGAGGAAAAGTGCAGCAAACCATGCATTTTGTGAACGTGACAGGGACAGACCAAAAGGGATGCCGTTGTACTCGTAGGCCCTGCCCTGAAAGGCAAACCCAAGGAACTGCCTGTGATCTGAACTGATGGGAATGTAAATCACCTTACCTTTATCAGTATGAAGTGCCTTAATCATATATAATACAGAGACAATAGGAAAAATCATAGCAATAACTAGAATGTTTAAGAGAAAATGGCTGATTTGAGAGGACAGGGAAGACTGGCTGCTCCACAAAAGCTCATGGCAGAAGGCCACAGCACCCACTGGTGGCAAAAAAAGATCAAAGAATTATCCTATGAACGAGAGAGAAACTTACTAGAAAATCAGCATAACTTGAGGGAGACATGATCAACAAAAAAAACAACAACATAAACCCAATGATAACAGAAAGAACAGAAAAAGGTGTAAAAGAGTCAGGGTGAGAGTCTAAGAGCAGCAACCAAAGAAGATAAATACATAAGCAGGGCAAGTCACCATCATACTGCAACTCACAGTAATGAAAAAGCTATTTAGGGGATTATGAGATTGATACTCAGCCTAAATAATAATTTTAAAAAACCCTGAAAGAAACTGAGGCAGAATTAAGAAGGTTAACAGAGGACACACCCAATAGGCAGGTCAGAAGAAGGTGTTGGGGATTAGGTTTCAAATGGCATCGAGATTTAAATAAAAAATGTCATAATTATTCAGCTACAGCACTATATACTGTATTAATGTTACTATTTGATGCAAAGCCTACTGATGTATATTATTACTACACTGTAAAAAGAACTAATGAAAATATATTTATTATATATATTTTGTTGATGAAGCTGGCTGTAATCTGACCAAAACTCGTCGCTGTGGTGGAACCTCATTGGCCAACGGACGACTGTCCAGGTGCCCCGACAATGTGGAGGAAACATCTCCTGTGTGCAGCTATCTCTGAAGAAGGTGTGGCAGGACGTAGGCCATTACTTGGCTCCTACAACACAGCAAATCTCATTTAGTTTCTGAATGAAATCAAGCCGTTTTGTGAAGGTGAAGTGGTCATCTTCCCACACGCTTTGTGGGACAACGTCTCTTTTCACCGTGCAGAGGTGGTTCAAGCATGGTTTCCGCCCAACCCCCGATTCGTGGTCCTCTACCTGCCCCCATATTCTCATGCCTCAATCCTATTGATGAAGTTTTTTTCAGCATGGAGGTGGAAGGTCTATGATTACCAAACCCATTACACCCCATTGTCCCTCAGGTCACGGATGAGGTGTAGACCAATGTCAAGCATGGATTCGACATGCCAAAAGGTTTTTCTTTAGGTGCACGAACAATGACAAGATTCATTGTAATGTAGACAAGAATGTATGGCCAAATGCTCAAGACAGGCTTGATTCAAATTAATGTAATGTGTGCTAAATATTATTATTTGTTTTATTTACTTTAACTGTGTACATTTCATCATAGAGAGTAGACATTTTGTAATATTATATTCGAAAAATAAAAATAAATTTGTCCCATACGATTATAGAGAATGTCTTCATTGATCACAACTTGATCTTGACTCGACTTACATATAGGATAGATATTATGGAAATGATAGATTCTGCAAATGTTGGGTAATGTAAGTTTATTGCCTAATGTGAAAACTGTAATCTGTGTTTTACAGTACTGTAGCATTCTGCTTTCAGCACTTCTAAGGTGATTTGAAACATTTGTCTTGTATTGTTTTTATGTTTTGTGCTAGTTTTATGCCTTGGATATTTTATAATGTTTTATGCTTATTGTTTGTTTTGATGTTTTGATGTATGGATTGCCGAAAGTCTCCTGTCTGCACAAAAATTTTACCCTCGGGTACTAATAAAGACACCTTGACCTTGACCTTGAATTGTTATAGGATTCCTTGGTAAAAGATATCAGTATGTTTTGTTTTGGTGATTACACCACATGTTCTCATGACAATTCATGAGAAACCTCTATTTTGAATCAATGGTTTTGTGGTGAGAGATGTTTACAATCCAAATGAATGCAAAATGGCAAGTTTTGAATGAGACTGGCTGTTTTACAATTGTGATTAGTTTTGTAGTAACAGTAGTGAAATTTTCCCACATACTTGGTTGAGATACTGAACTTTGTATCCCCCCAGATGCTAAATGGTTTAGTCCGCCCTGCCCTAAGATTCATTTCTGAATGGGCTAATCAAGCAGAGTGACTGCTGAAGCTGGAGCATCAACATGCCCATAACGGAAATCAAGGTACCAAAAATGAAAAGAAAAAAAGAAAAGTGAAGGAAAACAACTGCTACTTAATTTATTTCAAAAGAAAAGTGGGCACAACTAGCAGTTAAAGAATGGTTTAAAGTAGTCATATTATGCTCATTTTCAGGTTCAAAATCTTATTTAGGGGTTGTGCCAGAACAGGTTTATGTGGTTTCATTTTCAAAAAACACGACTCATGTGTCATACTGCACATTGCTGCAGCTCCTCTTTTCACCCTGTGTTGAAGGCTTCGTTTTAGCTATGGAGTGATACATCTTGCCTCTACAAGATCTTTGTTGGGAGTTGCACATGCGCAGTTCCTAGTTAAGGACTACTAGCCAATCAGAAGCAGAGAAGGGCGGGTCGTGACAAGCCGGTAAACACGGCTTCGTTCAGTTGCACTTACCAGCTTGGCAACATGGACTGGAGCGAGAGTTTCAGAGTGGTGAGTTATTAATCTGTAACAAAAGCATCTTTCATCCATAAAGTTTTAACTGAGCTCTGTCTCTACATCACAGGAACAACTTTATGTCCATCGACTGCCTGGAGGGCGTGTTTGGAAGGGAGAGGAGAGGCAGCAGGCGAGCGTCTTGTCACTGTGTGCTGAAGCTCAGTGTGTTTTTCCACCAGTGTTTTTGAGGGCGTGTCGGACTAGTCGCTCAGCAAGCATTATGATGCGCATTTTAGTGTGTCGTCACAGGGATAAAAGGGAAGCGGCTGACAACAAACGAGCTGTTTTCAGGCAGTTCAGAGCAGAGTTTTCTGTGGGAGACGGGAACTCCCTTTGGGCTGGACTTTTTCACTTTGCAAACCTAGTACATGCACTAAAAAGGTTTATAACTCTTTTTACTTTTGGGGTGAAAAGCCAAAAAGCAGTTACCTCTTTAAGCTAATATCAGCAGTTTAGATTGAAAGTCAGTGAGGACTCTAGCTTGAGCCATATTTGCATTGTAAACTAGAACATAAATTGTTATCAGCATTATAAAGTTTTAATTATTTTGCTTTTAGGCTAACATGCCTTTGAACCACAAACTTATACTGAGGGCTTGGACACAATTATTGATTAAATGTGCTGGCTCTATGTCTGTATGTAAAGGGTAGCATTTATTTGAAAGATGATTTTTCTTCTTCTTGTTTCTGCAAATGAAACCCAACTCCAGTGAAGGTTTTTTAAGTTGTCTGTTATTGCCAGAGGGGTGACTTTGGGGACGTCAATGTCTGTTTTGAAGCAGCGTGGGGTTACGCCCCCTTGTTAGAGAGAAGAGGCCACAGGTGCGGGAGTGTGAAGACCGCTCTCGAGAACTGCAACACTACTACTGATTTAATTAATTTAAGTGGTCGGGGGGCAGAAGCCATCACTGTGGAGTTTTGGGTAGGTAACTGCTGAAACGGAAGCCTACCATTTCAGCGGTAACCTACCCAAAAGTCCATAGAGTATGTAAATGAAAAATCATAATTTCTACATGCATACTTTTTTTTTTTTTTACTATGACATAATGAGTGCACTTTAGGGAGCCCATTTAACATCATCCATTCATAAAAATAATCTTCATTTTGGAAAAAAATATTTAGTAGATTAGATTTCACATATTTTATTATTTCACATATTGTATTTTATTATTTCACATATTGTATTAAATGAAAAAAATTAAACAGGTACATATGTCCTTTTGGTCTATACAGCTTCAAAACCATGAACTGCTGGAAAACTGCTGGAAACATGTACATACATTTGGTCAGTGCTGCTTAAACAATCAATTTTTATTCATTTTACACCCTTCATTTTAGACGGAAAGCAGTTGGCATCAAGAAGTTCTTCTTTGATCTCTAGCCGTCAGAGGCAGAATCAAGTCATAGATTAATTAATGCAGCTTTATGCCTCCACTGATAAATTCAAGCTTGTTTACATTCATCTGTGCTTGTTGCATCTATGAGAAGACGTGGAGACACACAGAGAAGATGAGGAGATGGAAGAAGAAGATGGGTGAGTGAGCAGGAGCGCCCCCGCTGGTAGTAGGTGTAGTGGTAGCAGCTGTGCTGCTGCTGGTGGAGGCTGGAGATAAGAACGTCCCCAATATCTGAGCCAGGAAGGTCTGAAAGCGGCTGAGTTTGGTGAAGACCATCACTGGATCTGCTCGTGTTTGACTGGTGCTGTTGTTTTGAACTGACAACACTGCTGCCTGGAACCAAGAGCCGCCCAGCTTACACATCATTGGACCGCCAGCATCACCCTGAACAAACAAGAAAAACAGATATGTTCAAGTCCAAATTTATGTAAAATACTGTTATTAGTTTCACCAAGCGTGCTTTACAGACAATACTTCCTTATGGCTGATATCAATAAATTGATGAAATAAAATAAATATATAGCTACAGCCAAAAGCTGATTAGCTTAGCTTAGCATAAAGCATGGAAACAGGGAAAGTTGGCTTCTGTCCAAAGTAATTAAAATCCACTTATAAAGCTCAGGTTACGCTTCAGTTTTTTTATGGATTAAACAAAAAGGATATCACATAGTACTAGTAGTAGTAGTAATAATAATAATAAAAATATATATATTAGTGTTTCCTCTATGGTGTTGTGGAGTTGTAGCAGCGGAGCTGGAGTGACCTTCGTTTCGCCCTGCAAAAACATATGCAAATGATAAAGAATTTGTCTGGGGAGGAATTACAATAGAGATCTGGAAAATGTCATCCAGTTAGTTTTGATGCTCCACAATGATTTTACATTCATGGCACATCACCCAACCTGTTTTGGGCTTCACCACTTAAATCTCATAATGGCAGGGAATTATTATTGATAGGATCATTCTGTTTTAATGTAATTAATTTACTCTTTTGACATTTATCTGTGGAAATGAAAAATAGGCAAATTATAAGAACAAGCATATTTATTAACATCGTTCTGTATATTTACCAAGCAGGATCAGGATGTACAGTCTGTGTACAAGTCAGAGCTGTACATTTTAGTTTATCATCTCAAACTGGTTTCTTGAACATGACAATGAGTTCACTGGACTCCAGCGGTCTCCACAGTCACCAGATCTCAATACAACAGAGCACCTTTGGGATGTGGCGGAACGGGAGATTCGCATCATGGATGTGCAGCCGACAAATCTGCAGCAACTTTGTGACGCTATCATGTCAATATGGACCAAAGTCTCTGAGGAAGGTTTCCACCACCTTGTTGAAAGTATGCCATGAAGAATTACAGCAGTTCTGAAGGCAAAAGGGGTCCAACTAGGTACTAGCAAGATGTACCTAATAGAGTGTTTATACTGTATATCTGAACATGGACGAGACGTCCTTCTGATCTCAAATAAAATCAATACGATCTAGTAGTAGCAGTAGTATCTAGAAGTGTTAGAGCAGCAGGAGCTTGTTTTGAGATTTGAGTTTATTCAACAGTTATTTACAAGGTCAAGAATAAACTCAAGTTTCTTCTTCTTTTTTTCTTTTCCCAAATCCTATTTAGGATGTTTTATTTCATCTGTTCTATATAATTAGGATAATATTTATGTTTTAAAAAAACAAGTCTCTAATGTTCAAGGATATAAAAACACCTTGATAAAACAAAGAGAAACATGAAAGTATAATAATCTCCTGCTCTCATTACTCACCTGCGCTAGAGTGAAAGAGCTCGTACAAATGCTGTCACTTGTTGACGCGTTTCCACAGTTTACCACCGAGGTCTGGACCTCCTGCAGAACTAAAAATAAGAAAATGATAAAATAATTTATAGTAATTAGTATATAGTAAGTGAAACATGTGAATCAGGCCCAGATGGCAGAAACCTAAACTAAATGGGCAAATACACATTTACCAATTTGTTAGTGCTAAAACCAATAAGCAACAGTCTAAATGTTTAATCTAAAGAGGTGAAATGGTGCAGAGTTAGCATTACTGCGTCAAACTGTGTTATGGACTCACCCCCTCCTTGCCCGGCGCTCCAGCCAGCAGCCCAGCACGTCGAGCCCACAGTGAAGGTTTGTCCGTTGTCCAGGCAGATGGGCTGGATGTGGTTGGACAGGGTGGGTCTGGTTGCCAGACGCAGCACTGCTACATTAGACCCAGTGAAGTTGCTCAGAGTGATATTTGTCACTTTCAGTGTCACCTCAAAGGGGTTGGATCCATTCTGATTCAAACGACCCAAAACGACAGTCCATTCAGACGCTATGGGTGAACTGTGGGAGATAAAATGAACTGAATAAGGACTGAGGAGAAATCAAAACTTTAAAATCTCTGGTTGAACCTTTACAGATTCAGCTTCTTGGACTGTTTCTCATTAACAATAAATCTGATGGTCAGACTCAAACCAACAACATCCATCTCTCAGTAAGTTCTCACCTCCTGTCTGTGGCTCTCAGCTAAAATGTAATCAGACACTCCTAACTTTTAATAATGTAAACATTAAGATATAATTGTGTCTTAGAGTAAAGAGTAAATTTAACTGTCTAAAAGAATGAACACTTTTAAGTTAAAGGCCTAATGTAAACACATGTCATGTAAATTTTGATAAAACAGTTTTGGAAAAATCCGTGAATAAGAGCATACAAATGAAAAGTGTGTTCAAAACAATGCCCAAGTGACGCCAACAGATGCTGCAAAATAGCACTGATGAAAAGTTTCTACTGATCCAGTGCAACATCTCAGCATCTACTAGATGTTGTCAGAAGAACTGACATTCATTGTCCACTCACGGGTCACATTTCACCTGAATTATGACAAGTGTTCACAACTTTCTGTTCTTTTCATTACGGTTTCTGGCGCTGCCCCACAACTCACTCCCTCCCCTCTCTCTCCCCACTGTGTCCGCTCGGACAAATAGCATGCACACAACTCAGAAGAAAGCTCGCATCTTTGTGAGATGATAGCGAGGTAGAGGAGGAAGAGAGCAACATGTGTAATAATGGCTTTTGTGGAGCTTTTTCATTCACCACGACTCCATCTACAGCAGAACAGCTGCTCTAGAGTGACGTCAAAGTCGCATCAATTCCGACCTGAGAATCCAGACTGAGGTCGCATTTAAAAAGATCCGATCTGTATCGGATTTGGCCCACACACGAGGCCAAAATTGGACCAGAAAAAGATCAGATTCCATGTGACTTGGCCTGTTCACCCTGTCATAAAAAGATCAGATCTGGGTCACATATGGGCAAAAAATTGGATTTGGGTCTCTTTAGCCTGCAGTCTGAACCTGGTCTTGTTCCTATTGAGTGTTTAAAAAACATTTCCTTCTGTTCTTAAATGGCTCAAACATTAGACAGACTTCATGCCATCCAGGACATCAGGTTCCACTCCAGACTCCAGGTTTCTCACCTTGAGAAGCAGTTGGCGTCGCTCAACACAAAGTCTAAAGCCACCAGAGTCCCGCCGCACACATGACTTCCATTGTTTCGTAGGCTCGCCATCGATGGCCAAACACCAGCTGTCGCCACAGAGCTTCCTCCCAAAATACGTGAATTCAGTGGGGCTTGGCCACAGACCACAGCTGGAGAGAAGAACAAAAGGTAGATAGTCAAAAAAAAAATTTTAAGTAAAGCCTTTTAATCTCACACCAGATACTGACGACCCACCATCACAACATCACATAGTTTAGTCAAACTTTGTTCAAACCACAGAGCTTTATTCTAAATTATAGTGGATATCTCAATGTTTCCAAACACACCAAAGAAGTCACACTAAATATTTGGGGACATTTGGACAAAATTATACACAAAACATCTAGGATATTTAAGCTTGATGGAATGATGCAGCCATAAAACAATATGTGGTCTATAATTTGAATATTTCCCTCAGTGTCATCTGCTTCAATGAAGAGCTGGAACAAGCTGATATAGAATATGTATGAAACTGTTATACTGTGTGGAAGAAAACTTTCCAACAAGAAATGTAGGGTTAGTAATCAGTGTTTACAAAGTCTGGGCTTGGCAGGCACTTACGTGGGGCTGTGGTTGTTGGTGGCGGAACAGGACAGGTGAAGCTGAGGTCACTGTCAGTCCCATTGGACATGAAGGTGAGGAAGCCTGGCTGGTTGCTGGTGATCTGGCTGTTGATCCAGGACTGATACTGGGAAACTCTGGCGAACAATGCTGGGAAATTAGGCCCAGTACAGTCATTTCCCAGAGTCACAATTCCCTCCTGGATCCAGCGACCGCCCTGCTTGCTCACCAATGGACCTCCTAAATCCCCCTTTAAAGAGAGAGAAAAATTTAGGAGAAGGAATCTTTGCAAAAGGTAAAATCTGACGCAAACGAAGGCATAAAAATTATCACCTGACAGGAGACCTGCCCTCCAGCATTTAACCCGGCGCAAATCATGTTGCTTGTGAGTAAGCCCCTTCCAAAGCTACAATTACACTGTCTGTTCCCCAGAATCAACAGCTCCAACTCTGTTAGGTTTCCTGGGGAATTTGAGGACACTAAAGAGACACAAATTCAATTTAGTAAACAACACAAGTGGCAGCCCACCCACATAATTCCAATTTTGTGACAGGATTGTCATAGCATACCTCCTTACATCTTATAATACCTTTAAATGGGAGGTGAATTGGTGAGGGAGTACAAAAAATGCAGAATTAAGATGTGTCAAACATAAGTGAGGCATATGACTCATGACTATACATCAAATTACAACACCAACGTGTTCATTAGGTTTGCGTAAGACACAACTATGGGTTTCATCAACTACAATGATGGGACAAACTACAGGAATGAGGTGGAAAAACTGGCCACATGATGCAGCGACAACAATCTCTTCTTAAATGTGGAAAGCACAAAAGATATTTGTAATTGACTTCAGGAGAACACACACACACAACATCCCCGCTGAGCATCAATGGTTCTACTGTGGAGAGCGTTAGCAGTGTCAAATGTTTGGGTGTGCACATTACAGAGGACTTCTCCTGGACAATGAACGCTGCATCAGTGGCGAAGAAAGCCCAACAGCGCCTCTACTTCACACTCACCCTCTCACAGTTTCATCAGTCTCTTGCCAAGGACGGAGTTATAGGGCCTTTTCGAAAACTAGACCCTCGTCACTTCCACTCCATTACAGAATGAACTCTGGTTGGAGCGAAATCGAGCTCTCTAACCCGCGTGGGGTTTAAATACAGCGGCCGACTTTCGAACAAACTACCCTCTCCCCAGCCTAAATAGGATCTGACGTTCCTTACTTCCGTAATACGTATGAAACAGTTGTATGAAGATTCAGGACTGATGTTGAGGAAAACTTTGTTTTTTGCAATAACGAAACTGAAATCATTTCTTTTGTGTTTGTTTATGAACCAAATTATTGAGGTTAGATTTAGAATATTTCTTTAAGATTAGAGGAGATGAAGAAATAGTATATTATTTCATGAAAAGATTGATATTCATTGTAAAATAAAAGTCTATATTTGAACCCATTTATCTTATATGAAAAAAAATTACATTCACAAATGAATCAAACATTATATTGAATTATTATATTTCTGAAGAATTTAAAAGTTAAAATTTATAAAGACTTAATTATTTTTCTTTAATGCCCTTGTTGCTTGTTACGTGGTCCCCCTGTGTATCTAGTTGTGCCATGTTCTATTATTCTGTCGTTTACTGTAGGCTATTTTGTTTTGGCTGAAGATTTTTTATGAGATGAATAGCCTATGATTCAATAAAACGTTGTATGTCTTATCAGACAAGAGTGTTTTTTTATTAAACACATATAACCTTTGGACGTTGTTAAAATGTGAATAGGAATGTTGTTAGGAAGTAGTTTTGGAAAGTTAATCGGCGAAGTCACACGGAACTCACATTTGAAAGAAAGGTCTCCATCGTGCAGCAAAGGGTGTTACACACCTTCAACAAGCTGACATCGGTGCTCAGTCAGCATTGGAGGGTTTAACAACCCCTACCACTCCACCCTCATTGGTTTCGGATTGTACTCAATGTGGAGGACCCTCCGCATGAACGCGCCAACGGAGTGGAAGTAGTAAGAGAGGGGAGCAAGCAGTTTTGGAAAGGCCCACTGACGGACAGTCTGTAGCAAACAATAAATATTTTCTT